CAAAATGTAATATGTGTTTATGTAGCTATTGGTCAAAAAGCATCTTCTGTGGCTCAGGTAGTAACTACCTTACAAGAAAAGGGAGCCATGGAATATACTATTGTGGTAGCCGAAATGGCGGATTCCCCTGCTACACTTCAATACCTCGCTCCTTATACAGGAGCAGCTATAGCTGAATATTTTATGTATCGTGAAAAACACACTTTAATCATTTATGATGATCTCTCCAAACAAGCCCAAGCTTATCGCCAAATGTCTCTTCTATTACGTAGACCACCTGGTCGCGAAGCTTACCCAGGAGATGTCTTTTATTTGCACTCACGTCTTTTAGAAAGAGCCGCTAAATTAAGTTCTAAGTTAGGGGAGGGCAGTATGACTGCTTTACCTATAGTAGAAACGCAATCGGGAGATGTTTCTGCTTATATCCCTACTAATGTAATTTCTATTACTGATGGACAAATATTCTTATCCGCCGATCTATTTAATGCTGGAATAAGACCTGCTATTAATGTGGGTATCTCTGTTTCCCGAGTGGGGTCTGCAGCTCAAATTAAAGCCATGAAAAAGGTAGCTGGTAAATTAAAATTAGAACTCGCCCAATTCGCTGAATTAGAAGCCTTTGCCCAATTTGCTTCTGATCTTGATCGAGCTAGTCAAAATCAATTAGCAAGAGGTCAACGATTGCGCGAATTGCTTAAACAATCCCAATCCGCTCCTCTGACGGCGGCAGAGCAAATTATTACTATTTATGCTGGAATAAATGGGTATCTTGATTCATTAGAACTTGGACAGATCAGCAAATTTCTTATTGAGTTATATACTTACTTCAAAACTAATAAACCTCAGTTCCAAGAAATCATATCGTCTACCAATACATTTACCGATGAAGCAGAAGCCCTTTTGAAAAAAGCTATTCCGGACCAAAAGGATCGGTTTCTACTTCAAGAAAAACTTTAAATAAGTACTTCAATCAAAAAATTCAAACACAATAGAAAGATATGGAAAAATTGCGCCCAATAGGATTTGAACCTATACCAAAGGTTTAGAAGACCTATGTCCTATCCATTAGACAATGGACGCTTTGGTGCTTCTTTTTTGCGTCTTACCCCTCAAAATTATTTGTAACAATAAATAATTAGATCGGATTCTAGGTGATCTTTTTTTATTGTCTATTCCTATTCCCCTTTAAAAATATTCTCATTAATGAGCATCTCCAAATAAATCTTTCAAATAATAATCAAATAATAATTTTTTTATTCCATTTTTATTCAATATGAAATTCAAAATGATTTTCTACTTCCTTAGAAAACAACGCCCGGTTGAGTAAGGACCGGGCCGTGCGAACAAGAATAGCCTTTTCAACATTTAAATAATTGAGTAAAAAATCAAAACAAAACATCTTATAACTCTTAATTTAGATTTTTATAAAATAATATAATAAAAATATTTAAATAATAGATTGAAAAGCATAATCAAAATAAAAAAAATTACTTAGTTCTATGTTTATTATAAAATAAGAATTCTCTAAATAAAATTTGGAGAGATGGCTGAGTGGACGAAAGCGTCGGATTGCTAATCCGGTGTACGAGTTTTTCGTACCGAGGGTTCGAATCCCTCTCTTTCCATTTTTGTGGATCGTATTATTTCTTTTTTTTTTTTTTTTTATTTGCAAATTCGTTTTATTTTATTCTTCACGTCCAGGATTACGCCTTGGATCATTAGATAGGAACCCAAAGATAAATAGAGAAACAAAAAAGATGACTACTGTGTATACGAAGAGTTTGAGAGTAAGCATTACAAACCTCCAATATTTTTTATTGAAAAAAAAATAAATAGAATATATTTTCTATTTTGAGACCACATAGGTACTATAAGGTACCAAGAAAGAAAGTTGAAATAGAGTTAATTTTCTAAAGAAAAAAATTTCATAAATCAAATTGAAATAAGAGTTTACCAAATTAAATATGGGGAATGGTCCTAATCCTAGTAGAGTCTTTTACTATAAAAAAAAGCTTTAAAAAGCAAGGAAGTTCTTATTCTTATTTTACTCAATTTGTTTAATTAAGTATTTCATCGAAAACTAACAACAGCCTGCCAAACAAAAGCTAAAAGAAAAAAAAGAACAGGTATTATTGGCATAAAATCGACGATTGGATTCAAAAAAGCATAAGATTCGGGCAATTTGCCGAATAAAAAACTACTTGAATAGAAGACAGAATTAAGACAGATAAAACTAAGCATAAAAGACATGTTTTTTTTGATAATGAATTATTAAGATATGATTTTTATAAAATTAATATAAAAACATTATATTGAATTCGTAGGGCGGGCGCAAAATATTGATTCCTCTTTTTAATTGAACCCTTCACAATGACTAGAAATATTTCAATATTTATAATACACTATAATAGAATATAGACAATATAATAATATACAAAAGAAATAAATTAACACATAAAAAAAACCAGAACCATAGAATCAAATTGATATCCATTTTAAATTCAATAGACAAAAATAAAATGGTTATTTAATTTTTGAAGTGTTGAAGTGGGGCGTGGCCAAGTGGTAAGGCAACGGGTTTTGGTCCCGGAATTCGGAGGTTCGAATCCTTCCGTCCCAAATCTTTTTGATCTTATTATTTCTATCGAATAGAAATAGTCTATTGAGATAGAAATAATAGAGAGAAAATAATCTATCTACCTAAATAAAATATATAGAAAACCTAAAAGGATAGTATGTTTAGAGACAACTCAAACCAATACTAGAACCTATGACTATTAAAGATTCCCTGATTTAATCAAGTACATATTGGTTCCAAATTCTAAGAAAGAATATTATGGTCCAACGTGGTTTGCAACGATGTGGTATAAATCAACATGTCACTTTAAAGATGAAAACCAAGATCCGTTATCTTGTTACATCCACCATTTTTTTTTATAAATAAAATAATAGGTTATTGGCTTTATAGCAGTGAATTTGTTCCATATGATCTAAATAATGCTATTTTGTAATAGAAAGAGATTTTGATGTATATAGTTTATATAGTTATAGTTATGGTTTTTTTGTATAAAAAAAGGAGGAACTTAAAATAGATTTACAACTAGAGAGATCGAAAGAACAGAATTTCCTTTATCCACTTTTATTTCAGGAGTATATTTATGTCCTTGTTCATGATCGTGCTTTAAGTGGTTTAAAAGGGTCAATTTCTGCTGAAAATATAGTATATAAAAAAAAATTTAGTTTTCAAATTGTGAAACGCTTAATTACTCAAATGTATCAACAGATACAGCTCACTAATTGTTATTATAAAAAAAGTCAAATTTTTAGAACCAGCAAGTTGTTCTATTGTAACCAGTTAGCTGAGGTTTTTGCTTTTATTTTGGAAATTCCGTCTTATTTAAGATTCATATCAGAGCGCAAAAAAAAAAAAACTCTTAAAATCTAATAATTTACGTTTACGGTCAATTCATTCCATATTTCCATTTTTTGAAGACAATTTATCACATTTAAATTTGGTATTAGATCTACTAATTCCCTCCCCCCCTCATCTGGAAATCGTGGTTCAAATAATTCGGTATTGGGTCAAAGAGGCTTCTTCTTTACATTTATTACGCTTCTTTCTATATGAGTTTTACAATTTTCAAAATTTGAATACTCCCAATAGGTCCCATTACATTTTGACAAAAAGACCTGAGCGGCTTTTCTTCTTTTTATATAACTCTTATTTATATGAATATGAATCCGTTTTTGTCTTTCTCCGCAACCAGTCTCTTCATTTAAAAGCAATCAGTTTTCGAGCACTTTTGGAAAGGAATCTTTTCTATGGAAAAATCGAATGCCTTTTAGAAGTATTTAATGAGGATTTTTCTGCAAGTATCCGTTTGTTAAAGGCTCCGGATCTTTCAATGCATTATGGTAGGTATAGGGGAAAGTCAATTATGGCATCAAAAGAAACGTTTCTTTTGATATCAAAATGGAACTATTATATTGTAAAATTTTGGGAATCTTATTTTTCTCTTTGGTTCCATACTGGAAGAATAAATAGAAATCAATTATCCATCCATTCTTTTTCATTTATGGATTATCTTTCAAGTATTGTAGTAATCCCTTCAATAATACGAAGTCAAATGTTAAAGAATTCATTTTTAATAAAAAATGCTATTCATCAATTTGATACTGTTGTTCCAATTATTCCTATCCTTAGATCCCTAGCTAAAGCTAAATTTTGTAATGTACTTGGGAATCCCATTAGTAAACCGGGTTGGACCGACTTCTCAGATTCTGAGATTATTAAAAGGTTTGGGCGGATATGTCGAAATTTTATTCATTATTATAGTGGTTCTTCCAAAAAAACCAGTTTGTATCAAATAAAGTATATACTTAGGCTTTCTTGTGCTCGAACTCTAGCTCGGAAACACAAAAGTACTGTACGCGATTTTTTAAAAAGCTTGGGCTCGGAATTTTTAGAAGAATTTTTTACATCGGAAGAACAAATTTTTAATTTCACGTTTTCAAAGGCTTCTTCAAATTTGAGGCGAGTTTATAAAAGGCGGATTTGGTATTTTGATATTGTTTGTATCGAAGAGCATATTAATTTTTAAAAATTCATGCATCTTGTCAAATTCAAATTTTTACCAAATTATAAAATTATTAATAGAGGCAAAAAGTTTTATTTTTCCATTTGATCGTAAATCTTTCTTAAAAAGTCTAATTAAAGGGTAAGCTTAGTTTTAACTTTTTTAAAATTGACTACAGATAATTTATATATAATTTATATATATATATAGGAACGCTTATTCACAAAAATATTAAAAAAAAAATATATTCTTTACTCGAACTAACAAGTTCCAGATTGTAATTATGAGTACCAAATCGTCATACTTAAATTAAATGGAGAAAATTTGCTTGACTTAAAAAAAGGGGGCGGAATCAAATTAGATAGCTCTATTGGTTGACACGAATATCTAAGTCGTGTTATACTGTTGAATAACAAGCCTTTAATTTATTCTATTTTTTTTTATTTCGTGTGCTTGGGAGTCCCTGATTATAAAATCAACCAAGAATTGATCATGACTGCAGTTTTAGAGAGACGCGAAACCCAAAGCTTATGGGGTCGTTTCTGTAATTGGATAACTAGCACTGAAAATCGTCTTTACATTGGATGGTTTGGTGTTTTGATGATCCCGACTTTATTGACCGCAACTTCTGTATTTATTATTGCCTTCATTGCTGCTCCACCAGTAGATATTGATGGTATTCGTGAACCTGTTTCTGGATCTCTGCTTTACGGAAACAATATTATTTCAGGTGCCATTATTCCAACTTCTGCAGCTATAGGATTACATTTTACCCAATATGGGAAGCGGCATCCATTGATGAATGGTTATATAATGGGGGTCCTTATGAACTAATTGTTCTACACTTCTTACTTGGTGTAGCTTCTTATATGGGGCGTGAGTGGGAACTTAGTTTTCGTCTGGGTATGCGCCCTTGGATTGCGGTTGCATACTCCGCTCCGGTTGCAGCTGCTACCGCAGTTTTCTTAATCTATCCAATTGGTCAGGGAAGTTTTTCTGATGGTATGCCCCTAGGAATCTCTGGGACTTTCAATTTCATGATTGTATTCAGGCTGAGCACAATATTCTTATGCACCCATTTCATATGTTAGGCGTAGCTGGTGTATTTGGCGGTTCCCTATTCAGTGCTATGCATGGTTCCTTGGTAACTTCTAGTTTGATCAGGGAAACCACAGAAAATGAATCGGCTAATGAAGGTTACCGATTCGGCCAAGAGGAAGAAACGTATAATATAGTAGCCGCTCATGGTTATTTTGGACGATTAATTTTCCAATATGCTAGTTTCAATAATTCTCGTTCATTACACTTCTTTTTAGCTGCTTGGCCTGTAGTAGGTATTTGGTTCACTGCTTTAGGTATCAGCACTATGGCATTCAATCTAAATGGTTTCAATTTTAATCAATCCGTAGTTGATAGCCAGGGCCGGGTAATTAATACTTGGGCTGATATAATTAATCGTGCTAACCTTGGTATGGAAGTTATGCATGAACGTAATGCTCACAATTTCCCTCTAGACCTAGCTGCTATCCAAGTTATAGCTACAAATGGCTAGAGACTTCGTCTCTTAGTATATAGATAGAGAATCTATTTAAAATAGAATAAAGGAGCAATTCCGCCTTCTTGTCTAGAACAAGAAATCGGTTATTGCTCCTTTATTGATTCCTTTTTGAAAATAACATAGTTTAGTCGGGGGCGGATGTAGCCAAGTGGATTAAGGCGGTGGATTGTGAATCCACTATGCGCGGGTTCAATTCCCGTCGTTCGCCCATCACTCGAATTATCGTTTCGATAAATTCTATAAATGGGTGAAATATATGAGTGAAAGTAAATAACATGCCGCTATGGTGAAATTGGTAGACACGCTGCTCTTAGGAAGCAGTGCTAGCGCATCTCGGTTCGAGTCCGAGTAGCGGCATAAAAAATAAGAGTAATCTTTTGTTCTTTTTCATTTTTTTCTTATCTAATTCGGAGTTAAAATCTTATTTTTTTTTATTTTTATGATAGTTTCAACCTTAGAACATATACTAACTAATATTTCACTTTCAATAATACTCGTTTCTATTTTAATTAAAATTTATTTGAAAATCTTTTTTGTAGATGAAAACATAAAACTTTCTAATTCATCAGAAAAGTGCATTTTCATAACTTTTTTATGTATAACAGGATTATTAGCTACTCATTGGATTTCGTCGGGCCATTTCCCACTAAGTGATTTATCGGAATCTTTGCTTTTTCTTTCCTGGAGTTTTGCTCTTATAATAGCCTTTCCTATTTAAAAAAAAATACAAAATTATTAAGTACAATAATAAGCCCAATCAATTTTTGTATCCAGGCTTTTGCTACTTCGGGTCTTTTCACAGAAATTAAAAAATCTTCAATATTAGTCCCCGCTCTTCAATCTGAGTGGTTAATAATGCACGTAAGTATGATGATAGTGGGTTACGCAGCTCTTATATGTGGCTCCTTATTATCAGTAGCACTTATGGTCATTACCTTTAGAAAAAATGAAAATATTTTTAAAATGAATTATATTTTTTCGGCTAAAAATTTTATAAGATTCAATTAAGTAAAGAATTGGATTATTGGAGTTATCGAGTTATTAGTTTAGGGTTTATCTTTTTAACCATAGGAATACTTTCGGGGGCTTTGTGGGCGAACCAAGCGTGGGGATCTTATTGGAGTTGGGATCCTAAAGAGACTTGGGCTTTTATTACTTGGATAGTGTTTTCAATTTATCTACATACTCGAAGAAATAGAACTTTCGAAGGTGCTACTTCGGCAATTGTGGCATCTATAGGTTTTCTTCTTATTTGGATATGTTATTTTGGAGTCAATTTAATTGGATTAGGTCTACATACTTATGGTTCATTTTCGCGAACATAAAAAAAGACATTAATTTTTTACTTCGTGAAAAGCTAAAAATTTGTGAAACCCGTGCTCTCAAATAAAAATATTTCCTATTTGAGAGCACGGGTGTTCAATAAAAATAGAATGAATTCAAATATACTTTTCTGGACCAGATCAATAAGCGAGACCCATACTGCGAGTTGTTTCATGCCATAAATAAACTCGAACACTCAAGAAATCTGTTGGGCAGGCGGATTCACATCTTTTACAGCCTACACAGTCTTCTGTTCTCGGAGCAGAAGCAATTTGTTTAGCCTTACATCCGTCCCATGGTATCATTTCTAAAACATCGGTGGGGCAGGCTCGGACACATTGAGTACATCCTATACATGTATCATAAATCTTTACAGAATGTGCCATTGGACGAATAAATTTATAAACTTTATGAATTATCGATATAGTATCCTCCAAATATTATTTTTATCCAATATAAAATTATAAGATACTTGGTTTTTAGATACTATATGACTCAATGAATTCTCAGAAGGATTCTAATCAATAGATTTCTGGATTGGTTTTGAAAATAAAAAAAAATTATTTTATGTTTTAATATTATCATTTTTTTATAACTACGCAAACTACCTACAAACTACCTAATAGGGTAA